CATGAACTACGAAAGAGAGACCATTTCTTCTTTATCGAACGTTGTAGAACATGTATTAACAATTGACGATGACTTTTAACCTTATACTATGTAAATGAGTTGCTTGCACAAAAAATATCAATTAGCATAATCATTCATAGATATGATCAATGAAAACTTAAAGACTTAACAAATGCATCGTTGTATGCGATGTGATTCGTCCAATGTCTATACAATCATTTCAAAGCAAGTGATAAGCTCAACCATTGATAATTGAGATCAATTATAATTCAGAAGTGACTCTTTCAGAATAAAATTGTTCTTAATTCACAATGAAGTAGCATTCTTTCAGAAAAGGGTCAGCGAATCCGTAGGATGAGCGTTACTTGTATATAGTTTGATAGAGAAAAAAAAGCTCTATCTTTCTATACTATTTGATCATACTTCAACTTATATCATAATATCAAATTATCTATAGAACCTATTTCGACTGGTTATGTGTTGGTTGTACTAGATCACAACGTTGAGACAGGTTAGTTTTCACTGTATGAACAAGTAAAATGTACTATAAGATGCAGCATGAAAAACGCTACAATTTATATATGGCCACTTATTTTATAACTGTACTTTTTATTTTCAAAATCGACAAAATTTTGAGTAATCGAATAGCGACCATGCGAAAAAGATAATGTTTCCGATACGCAACGAATTCATTTTTATTATTTCATTGTTTCATCACCTGATATGCTGCATCAAAAGAAAAACAAAATATATCAGAAGATGCAGCGTGAAAAGCTCTACAATCTACATAATAAAGCTCATTGTAATTGTTTTCAGAAAAAAGAAAATTCTGTGCGACTAATTTTCGCAACACCCAAAATTTGATCCCTCAAAATTTTGTCGATTTTGAAAACAAAAAGTGCAGTTATAAAATAAGTGACCTTATATAAATTGCAGAGCTTTTCACGCTGCACCTTATGGTACATTTGGGTTGTTCGTACAATGTATTAAGAGATTGAAAACTAGCCTATCTCATAAGTTATGATCTAGTACAACCAGCACACAACCAACCGAAATAGGTTTTATAGATAATTTGATATTATGATATAAGTTGAAGTATGATCAAATAGCATAGAAAGATAGAGCTTTTTTTTCTCTATCAAACTATATATAAGGAAAGTTTCTTTGAGCGCACTATAAGGGAATAAAGTGTCACTGCCACTACTTTTGGTATGCCCTAAGTATATATAGGAAGTTAATAAATTAAAAAGATATAGTGATAAAAACTAAAAAATACAAAGGGAAAAAACTTTCGAGGTGCACAGTACTATTAAAATCTTTTTTATTATTTATTTTATTAACTTAAATAGGTATAATAACAAAAACAAGATGACAACAGAGGAAAATAAACATAAAAATCTTTTGAATGCACTAATGTTTTGTCGACAATTAAGTGTTTCACCTTAGAACAATTGAGCCGTGTCGTATTTCTTGTGAAGTTTTTTGTTACAATTATTAATTGATTGTAATCGACTGTCAATTTCATTAGACGAGGTAGATGAGTTTTTGTTTCATTGAGAAACTGTTCCACATAATCAATATGACTATGTTCCAAACGAAGCGAAACAAGATAAGGATATTCAACGACTGAATACAGTTGATTATCATCAGAATTCAATTTGTCTGATATCTGTGATGGTGATTCAAAATTCATAACAGACAATTTTTTAAGTAATGGAAAAAAGCGAGCAATTCGAACGAAAAATTCATGTTTGAATGGAGTTTTATCATATACCAATACGTTTGTAACATTACTAAAAACAATAGGTGGAAATGCGTTGCCAATACCGTCAATATGGTCAAACATGAACGGTAGCGAAAAAACATGACATATAGCATAGTAAGTGCTATAGTATAGAATACACATCACGTGTTCATATCCTATATTAGTAAAAGTTCGTTGAATATCGTCGCTCGATAAATCATGAACTAGATTCAATTCAGTTCTGGTATTAATATGAAAGTTAAATTTATGAAGCCGTGGCATATGAACAAGAATTTGATTATGAATCTGAGTACCATCGACAAATGTAGTTCGATCATGATTAACAATATCCAAAGTTAATTCTTCAAGATTTGACATACGATGAAGAAGAGGTAAAACTTGACTATCATATTCATTAGTGTAGCAACGACAAGTTAATGAGAAACCTTTCAAATTAGGTAGTGAATCCTAGAAAATATAAATCAACATTTTTAAATGTACTATTATCGATAATAAAACAAGTTCAGATGAATAACTGATTGAAAAGATACATTTCTATTTAATTCAATTAGAAATATTCCTTCAACTCAATCGTATATATATATATATTCGTCTACAATGATGATTAACACAAATATATGAGATTTCCTAAACTTTTAATACATCAGAAATAATTCGATACTAATGAAAAAAACTCAAAAATTTTAGATCAAGCATTTTATTATTGTAAAACAATGAAAATGACTAAAGGGAGTGAAGAAATTAACGATTATTTATAGCTATAATACAAGAATTTGGCCTTTTGTCTAGTTCCCGAACAGTTAAGTATTTATTAGAAATATCTCAACAAACAACATTCTCAGTTTTATGTTTTAAGCCTCCCCCCCCCCTGAAAAAAGTCAATTTTCGTCAAAATCACCGAAATTAGGATAAATACAGGGGAAGATAGCCCATCATTTGATCTTTCAGAAACGACAACAATTTTTACTCGACACCTCTTTTTTCCAAAAATTTTTGAAGATTTCCGTCATCCTCTATTCGAAAAACAAGCTGTTTTTGAAAAAAACCGAAAATCTTTTTCGATTTTTCTCGTTTTGTAGGTTCTCGATCGCATCTCCAAGATTTCTCGAAGGAGCTTCATTGTAGCCAATAATTTTTTTTTTGTTTGAAAGAGCGTGGAAAACTCCAGTGCCTATAAGAGTCAGTTTTTTTATTAAGCTTTGCTTTTATTATATATATATAAATCTTTATATAATTAGAGTGCCATTTTTTTAGAGTATTTTTGAGTCATTGAACTTTCGATCCCTTTTTTTCCCTTAAAAAGTAAGGATAAAAAAAAAGGGCCCTCATAGCCACTGCATCCGAACATGTTCTTTGAAACAAAAAAAAATCAGCCATGTAGAATGAAGGGTCACAGAGAATTTTTGGAGACGCGATAAGCTATTTTTTGACCCTTGTTTGGTTTGTAGTTCCCTGATACATCAGGATAGGAGGCTGAAAATTTTACCACAGACGTCCTTTGATAGCCCCAACATATCCCCAAAGTTTCATGGCATTTGGATGTTCCTGAGTTGAAATCGATTTTTGAGGGGGTCTTAAAAAAGAATCGTATTTGACTAAAAAAAAAAGTACAGTATGGATAAATCTAATATGCATCAAAAGTTAATAGTTTGTTTATTCAAATGAAATTCAATCATTCGATTTATTTCCTCAAAATAACTCATATACATTAAAATCTAAGGTATAAAATATCCTATATTTACTCATCGAATAGATCAGCATGATTTTACAACTATTTACTCTATAATTATAGTTGATTAAAAGAGTTTAGCATTTCATTAGGAAACAATCTATGATACTACTCTAAACAATACTATTGTTTTAACTTAAAAAATTAATCAAATAATACATAAACTTACCATATTATAAACAACTGATGAATGAGAATCTGTAATATCAATAATAACATTAAACGTCGTTAACTGTTTGAGACGACCATCAAGTAAAGCAAGACAGTCTTCAAAACATCTCACAAAAACACATAACTTGTAAAGAGTTGAAGAGGAACAGGTAGTAAAAGATGAATTGTGAACTGTTAAAAGTGAATATAATCCATTAATAGACAAATGTTTCAAATTTTTGAAGAATTTTAAAATATGTTCGTGCACCCCGTTTCGATATTCTCTCTCTAATACAATATCGATATAGCTTTTGTATACAAGAATAAGATCTGTAATTTGTTGTTGAAAAATACGACGAAACGGTGATTCATCTAAATAAAAAAAAATAATTAGACTATGTAGTGTATACAACGTTTCTAACAAAACCTTTGCTCACATCAGCATGGAAGTTTTTTACCTGTAAAATAACATGAAGCGATTTTGTCCGTGAAATTGAAGAGTTTAAGTTCAGTTAAATTAGGATAATCCGCAGCAAGATAAATACGTTCCATAGATTCTGATTCAAGAATAAGCGATTTAACATTGTGATTAATTTTAGGCAATATACTAATGCAAAACCGATCAAGTATTGGATCAGTAATCGACAAAATTTCATCAGTTGACGTTGTTAACACAAAATTGAGAGTATTAGTGAAAGTTTTTTCTTTTACTATCATATTAAGTCGTTGATTATCAACATCCAATAATGAATATAGAACATCAATATTATCAAGTTTCTTTAAAATAATATATAAGATTTCGTTAGATAGATCAAGAAATCTAACATTTGACCGATACATGTTAATTTTGATTGATGCTTTACTTAACATGCTTAGAACATATATATATTTATTGTTTGACCCCTTACACTTATTGTCGTCATTGAATAAAGTGACAGGATGACCCCAATGGAAAAAAAAATAGTGTCGATGGATAGCCAATGAATTCAAAGATGAACTGATCTATTGTTTTTGTCGTTTACTTCTGAGTGGCCTGTATTCTCACTTATATGTTATCCTATATTGGTCGTAGAAAGTGAACCAAATATATCAGTCAAAGAATTGTGGCTCACTTCATATAGACCAAATGAACTAATGAAAGTCGACTCCGTATTTTACCACAATCAGTCTATTTTTTTTCTTGTAAATGTCAGCTGCATTATATGACTACCAGTGTGAACTTAGCCGGACGACCAATCAGAATCATTTGCATATTCAGCTAATCATATAAGGAGCACAAAATACCTACCTTCATCCACCAAATACCAAAGAATTTTACATGGCAACCATAACTTACAAAAAAAGATATGTGGCCGTATGAGCTTTGCACTCAACTATATTCAAAAACTAAGCACCCAAAAACAATCAAAAACAACAAAAACGTACCAATCAACACTTCTCTCACCTAAAAGCTTTAGAAATGGACTCAACAACTGTTTTGCCAGAGGCTACGCATAAATCTCGTGAATATCTAATTAGCTTACACATTACGCGTACTTACATTAAGCGATTGTAAATTTGTGCAACTTTTTAAATGCCAACAATCGATACAGCTGGTCGAGTTGTTGTAAAAAAATATATTTTAACATTTGTAAATGCCGTAGTAAACTAGCACAAATTCGAGAATGATTATTCAAAATACTAATACACCACCATCAGACAAGAACAATCGTGCAAGTTTCGGAATCTCATAAATAGATACAGCAGGTTGAGCTGTGACGAAAACCAACCCATCTATATTTTTTTCTTTCATCCTAAGTTAGCACAAAATCATGAAACATCGGATAGCGACTAATAGGGTGTGGGTGTGGGTGTGGGTGTGTGGGTGTGGGGTGTGGGCAAGGGGGAAAAAGCGGATCTTTTCAGATCCTAGGATCCAAAAGATTCTGAGAGGAGCCATAGAAACTTAAAGGATCCAAAAGAATCCAAAGGATCCAAGAGGATCCAAGAGGATCCAAGAGGATCTAAAAGGATCCAAGAGGATCCAAAAGGATCCAAGAGGATCTCAAAGAATTTAGGAGCATCTAAAATGATTCACTGAAATTTATTACGAATCATCTAGACAAAGCCTACATGTTAGAGAATCCTTCACAGTAAGCTAAAAATCTATGATAATCTTAGTAATAGGCCATATTCTTGGCACTGATTTTTCTAAGAAATTGAAGTCAACTATTCATCTATTGTATGTGAATCAAATGGATAACGATACAAAAAAAGAAAACCAAATTAATGTTGTTTACTGGTCTGTTTCACTCGAAAACGTCTATCAGATGATAAATGATTTTTATTAACTGTCAAAAGACGTGCTGCTGTCTGTTTATGCATGTAGTAATGTTTATTATTAATAGTAATTTTAAAATAATTATTTATTTTTGTGGAATTAATTTTTTCATAAATTTTCATTCCATAAAATGTTTGTTTTGATGTTGTTAGATTATATTCTTCGTGTTCATGTTCATCAGGTGATTCTTCAATATATTCAAGTAAATCAATATTACTAGGTTCATTGACAATATTATCGTCATCATCGTCATCTAAACTATCATAAGCATCATAACTATTGATAATTGAATAATCAACTGTTGATCTTTTATCAAGTTCACGAAATACGAATGAACTAAGTTTATGAATATCATCTAAATTGGATTCTTTCAAGATTTCTGTTATTAGTAAATTATTCATTATTATTACTGCTTTATTATAAGCTTTAATGATTATTTTCTCTATGTCCTGTATGGTAATTGTTGGTACATTTTGAATATTTGTAGATGCATGAGATTCATCACGACGATTTTTATGATGTCTTGGAAATTTTAGGGAATATTCATTATTACTAGATTCTTCTGTTGATTTTATTAGTGTACTCAAAAAGTGAGTACACTACTAGAATCGGTCCGTATGTCCGGCCGGCCGGCCGGCCGGCCGGCCGTCCGGCCGTTAACACGATAACTTTCGAAAGGAGAGTCCGATCACGATGAAATTTTCTACACAGTTCAGTCTTTACAATATCTCGGTCGAGTTCGAAGATGAGAAGGATCCGTCAAGAAATGGCTGAGTTATCGAAAAAATTGTGATTTTTGACCAGACCATCCCTGAGGGGGGGTACGGGGATTTTTCGAAAAAAAAATTTTTTGCTCATAATTATTCACAAAATACATAAATCGACTCAGTTTTTAACGCTGATTCTGAGTCTGATATTAGTTTTGAACCGAATCATAGTTTTGTGTACTCAAAAAGTGAGTACACTATATAGAATAGTCAGTGCGTTCGTCTGTCCGGTTGGCTGTTTACATGATAACTTTTGACAGAAGAGTCAGATTGCGATGAAGCTTTCTACACAGCTTAGTCTTGACAATATCTCGGTCGAGTTCGTAGATGAGAAGAACCGGCCGAGCCATTCCTGAGTTATTGAAAAAATACCTACTTTTCCCTATAGCCTTCTGTGGAAAAATGGACCCATCGGGACTTTCGTAAAAGACTTTTCCTATCATAGTCAATTAAAATCCCAATTATTATATACCATTCGATAGAGAATTTCAAGAGCTACAAAATGATATATAAAACAGAAAGAAGCAAGAAGACTGACTCATCTATCACAAGGATAATTAAAGAGAACTAGGTTATATTTTGGTCCACGATCTAATTGATCCATAAACAGAGCTGTATCTTCTGATCACATTGATGATACTTCGAGGTTTTCAGAGATGGAGAACTCGAATGTGTACTGCACTTCCATCGAAATACTATTGGTTGTGCAGTGACCAATGGAAATCAAGTTATAGGAAAAACGCCTTTGTTAGGGTAAATCAAGGAAAAGAGTTCAAACTTGAGCTGTATTCGGTCCCATGTCCTATTGGTTTGGCAACGCGCAATAGAAATCAACATTTTAAATGGTAGGTTCCCCAGTATAATTTTGATGTTGAGATATTCTAGGATGACTGATTCGTATGATTCACTTTTTGAAGTACACATAACTTTCGGATTTAAATCCGAAGTTTCCGCATTTATTTGATTTAACATGGAAATTTTTCCAATTTTATTTATGAATTGAGATACGGAGAACGTTGTTATTGATGATAAAGATCCAGATAAAGATCGAGCACTTCGAAATGTTGATTCACAAGGTTGACTACTGAAAAGATGACAATTAAGCGCATATGACGGTAGACGTCCTTTGGATACTAAAATAATGATAAATGTCAAAGTATGTATGTTTATTTCAGATGAAAGCCAAGCAGCTCTTGTGATAAAAGAATTATCTTTCTCTCTTTGAGATAAATTTTTATTAATTCGAATACTACTCCTAGAAAATTTTAACGAAATGAAAAAATAGCTAAAGAAATATTTTTCTTTTACCACCAAATTCGATAAGCAAAGGCAACAATCCAACCAAAATATAATCGAGAAAGAATTTCTGTATCAGATTTAACATAAGCAAGTATAATAAATTTTAATAGATACAAGTAAATGTAGGTAGCCTTATTATTCATCTGTTTTAATAAAATTAATACGTCATCTGATGTTATTTTCAAACAAGAAGAATAATTTTGTTTATCATGTGGAAAAATATCGGATCGAACCAAATTATGATCAAGTTTCGGATGGTTTTCAATTAAATGAAGTAAATGATTTATATCAACATGATCATTATTAATATTTAAAGTGGCAGTCTCTGACAAGAGACGATTTCGAATCTTAGTAACTAAATGTGTACCATCCTGCATGCAGAGAAACAATTGCTGAAGTCTCATAAAGAAAAATGTCCAATTAGATGGTATATCAATTGTAAGTAGATCATAATTTCCTGTTAATAAATCAACATTAGGTGCTCGAGAAAAGAAACCTAAACATATTCTCATAGCTTTGAAATATCTGGAATCACAGTCTGTTGAAAACCCAACTAGATTTATATTTCGTTCTTTGCATTGATTATAAATATAAATCCATCTGCGTATGGTATCAGACGCAGAATGTTTATTATTAATTCCATATGCACTTATAATGTATGGTCTCGAATGAACTAATGATGTTACATCTGTCAATAATGGTTCAATTAAATGAACGTTGACTAAAGTAGATTTATCAATATCATGGAACCATTGCTCAAGTTCGCTATAACTATTGGTCTTAAATTGATTTATAACAGGTAAACCATTGTTTAGTGATGGAGTAAATCCGATAAAGGAATCATTAATAGCATCATAAGACACCGAGCTAACCACTCCACTGGCGTCTTCAGACTAAAGTAAAAAAGATTAGAAGTAAATATCATAGAAAATATATAACAAATAGGACAGAATCTATCTTATGCTCGTAATTATTTTATTGATGTCAGAAGGAATATATTGCTGAGCGAAACTTAGTAACAATATCTGTGAAAAACAATGAGATATTGATCAACTTGAGTATCTAGATATTTCTTTTTTTCTCTTTTTCGATGAATTATTCGCATATCCATAGTTTTTGACTAGTCTCGACAGACGTTTCTATATCGATCAGATTTATTTTTATCTTTTATATTTTGCAGTTCCCTACCGAAAAAACATATTGTGATTTTATTGAATCTAAATAATCTTTCAAAAGATCAAATCTGAATTCACATTCATTTAATTTAAAATTAATATTTTCATCATAATTTTTCAATGTTGTATCGGATGGTAGAGAACCTAACAAGTTAATTCGAATGAATTCATAAGCATTATAACCGGCTAATATCCTAAATACTGATGCGAATTTCGTAACAATAGGATGAAATTGAAAGTTATTTTTAGATCGTTTCATATTCTTTAAAAAATTGCTAA